GAAGGCATTGGAGAATAGCCAGCTCTTCCGTCTGTCCTCTGTCCTCTTCGCAGTGAGATGCCTTTTAATGGAGACGCAGAGAAAACGACAAAAACGCTGAGTCACTACCCACGCGGTTGACAACGGTCCTGTAACCGTTGGGAGGGGTGGGCTAGGGGGTGCAGTGCCCTTTTGAATCACTAAAGGCTAAAATGCAGAGAAGGATGGGTAGCCGACCTCGATTGTTCTTAGAGATGCTTTTCGGCTAAAATAATATTATTTTTACCTAAATTAAGAAGGGAAGGAGCTCCGGAGTGGGTGAGATGATTATCTCGTGCAAAAAGCTGCATAAAGATAAGAATTGAACATCCAGTTGGCTCATCAACCCCGGAGCTCCTCCCTCTCCAATCTAGGTAAGAAATATAGAATTATAACATCAAAGCTATGAAACGTTCCTAAGCACCGTTGCGGGCTCGGCTACTCTGTCTTCTCTGCGCTTTAACCATCAGTGACTCAATAGGCGCTGTAGAAGCCCCGTTCCTGTCTTGAGTCGCTTTATCGCCTCTCGATCAATGTCACGCCAGACGAGTGTCGAGGCAATACAGATTGCTATTATTCGTTCTAGGACCCACATACAATCAGCTTATCGCCGAGTGATGAGGCGATGTTTTTCTCCCATTCTTTCTTCCTCTTTTATTCTTTTTGCTGTCGCGATCCCTATTATAATTTCCTACCCCAAAAGACTGAAAAAGGTGAGCTATTTTAATTTCTGTAATTAGGGTTTTTGTTTACCTATGCTTATAAGCGGATGAATTTTTGCTTACCGTAGTCAGATATTCGCAGATATTTGGACCACACGTACGCAATGACGCGCTATGCCTAGCTCGTCCAAACGCCCCACTCTTCTTCATTCTTCTGGACCCATTCTCGTCTAGCCCCCTTTCTAACGATTTTTCGAAGCCATTTTTCACGGAAACCGCGGTCCACGCAGTTCCTTTGCCTCCATCGCACTATTTTCCATATTATCTTCTATTTTCGTCATAATCTGGATACCTCAAAATTGTCGTAAACTGTGCCTTTCATTCTGGCTAAAAAAACAGTTGCGTGTATGTATCACCTGTCGTCCCGTTGATCATCGATTTCCTCGAGCGGGCGCCAGTAACGTCTCCATTCGTGTCACGAGCCAGAGTGGTAAAGTGAATCGTCCTCGCTTCAGGGACACGAGGTCCAACATTCCTTTCTTTCGTTCAGAGCTTTCGTGAAGAAGTCTGACCATTCGTTGGCGGCCGTCCTGGAGTTTGTTTGACGTCCCGAGGGATCCAGTCAGTAACCGCCCTGGTCCAACGGTCATCACGATATCGCATAACGTGGCCGGCCCACCTGATCTTCGATTTCTTGGCGTAATCAACAGCATCCCTGATCTTCGTTCGATGACGGAGCTCGGAACTCCGGATTCTCTTCTGCACTTGCGCGTACAGGGAAATTCCGAGCATCGTCCTTTCCAAAGCGCGTTGAGTAACGCTGACAGCATGCTCATCCTGTTTTCGTAGAGTCCAAATCTCCGAGGCGTACATCAAAGCAGGAATGACAGCAGTGTCCAAAAGGTGAGCGCGGAGTCGGATGTTCTTTGTCTTCTTCACTACTCCCTCGATATTCTTATATGCTCCCGGCGCGGCGCGTTCCCTTCTGCACAGCTCCGGAGCATCATGTTGACTTCCCGACCTAGATACAAATTAGCTAGAGCATTCGGAGATATTCCTTCCGTTTAGCGTGAAGGGAGCATCAGGTAACAATCCGTTCTTCATGAACATCGTCTTCGTTAAGTTCAGTCTCGGGCCGATCCTTCCACAAGCACTGTCAAACTCGGCCAGCATTTGTTCCGCCTGCTCGATGTTCGGTGTTATAAGCACGATGTCGTCTGCAAAGTGGAGGTGATGTAGGTAGTGGCCGTCGACCTTCACTCTCAAGTCTTCCAATTCCAAATGACGCATGATATTCTCGAGAGCGGCACTGAAAAGTTTGGGCGAAATGGTATCGTCCTGCCGGACACCTCTCTTCACGTTGATAATGACTTCCTATTGAGTAGGAACACCCTGGTTGCCTAATGCTTCGATTACCGCTTCTGTTTCAACGGTGTCGGAGGCTTTCTTCAAATCGATGAGCGTAAGACATAAAGGCATTCTTTACTCTCGTGATACTTCAGTCCTGTAAGTGTGGATATGATCGATTGTGCTGAATCCTCCGAAACCCTACTCGCTCGCATGGCTGTCCTGTTCGTCAGTTTGCATGTCTGGCACTGGGTCCTGTTTGCTTATGCAGAAACTGAGTTTTTAGCCGGTATGGCAATAGAGTATGCTGGTAGGTGGTAATTTGAAGCAAACTTCTGCTGGAAGACATTGTTCGTGTTGATATTGAACGTGGGATGGCGCATTTGCCGTGCAGTTCATCAGTTTCTGAAGGTTGGGTAGAGCGTTTGAGTCGTGTAGAATTGCAACATACTGACCTTAGTGTATAAAGCTGGTACTTCACTACGCTTTATAGATTCAATAGCGATCGTTTAATAGGTGAGCTACCCGACAGCATTGTCAAAGGACGATGCGACCTCGAAGTTGGCGGTTCAATGAAGCGGGCTTCTTACTGGCTTACAACAATGGTCTCTATGTTGTCGCATTTTCAGAAAACGTGACGCTGAGCGCAATAGCAAGTCGTCAACTCCCGTGGGCGACCCAGCCGCTAAGCAACCTAGGTTGGATGAGGAGAATCCCGCCCAATTGAAAGTTGCAGAAAGTAAGTTGTTCTCTCACCACATCGGAATTTCGCGAATGTGCTGGCAAAAGGGTCATTCCGAAACATTTGTTGCAGCTAGAAGTTTTGTTGTTGCGAGTCTTCTTTCTGTTCTTTTTTACTTAAATACCTCATTCTCTTTTCTTTCTTTTCATTCGTCGGAAGAAAAAGTAGGAAGGCGTCCTACATCATTGTCTTGAACACCTCATAGTGTTTTTCACATGTTGCGATAATTCTAGGCATCTATGTTGAAACATTTCTATTATGAAACCGAGTCACGAGTGATTTCACAAAGCGCTTTTAATGGGTAGTTTTGGTGCAATCGGTATTTTTTCAGAGTCATCGCGGAAGTATGTGCATTCTACGTATGAGAAAACTGGCGCTTCAAGTGGGGCAGCGGGATCTTCTAAAAGTAACACGAAAGCAGGCTCCGCTCAAAACCTAAACCCATGGATACACCCGCCTACACATCCTAGATCGAGGCCTTCGCCTTTTCCGTTCCTGTTACCAGTGCGTGGAGAGGGTCAAAGCGGTTCAGCGTCATTCCAGAATCAACGCTACATGCAAGGAAACACGCATGAAGAACAGGTATAATGCGGAAGCTGTTGAACCTGCTTTAGCACATTTTAGATTGGTTTTTTTAATGGTTTAGATGCGCTGTGGCAGAACGGATGCATTAACCAACCGCAAAGGAGGCAGTGAAGTTTCACCGTGGACAAGGCCTGGAAATCAACCTGAGTACGCTGTTGAGTTCATCTGGTAATTGCTAATAAACTGATCATTACTTTTAATTTTAGGAATGTTGATAAATTGGTGTCCCTGATACGTAAAGCCACACAAGAGCTACGCACTAGATCGCCTTTTGAAACAAACAGAAAAACTGAAAAAATGGAGCTTGGTTCATTTATGGGAGCGGTACTGAGTTCTATGGATCGTAAGGTATGTGGTGGTGAGCCTTCTTACTGAGACTGGTTTTGCTGAGAAGTTGCTAGAACTCCCTTTGCCTTTGTTCAGATCAAGTTTCGATAGTTTCGTGGTAGTAAATGAGTACTATTAAATTCGCGTTTTAGAAGTTTCCAGCCGTGATCGCCGTTAAAGGAACAGGTGCGAATGAACTGAGCAAAAAGCCCTATAACGTTTTTTAGGGTACTCGCTATCCGGCATTCGACAATGCTTCGAACCCAATGATTGATGAAGGTCGTGGAAGGTGAGTTCGTTTAAAGAATACAGTGATAATACGTCTCTATCGGTAATGTTGTTGATTGCTGTTGATCAAGGTTTTTTAGTCACCCTTTTCTTCCCTACAATGGGGCATTCTCTTTTGATACCACATGATCTGCTTTAGAGTTATTTCTTGCTATTTAATTCGGTATGCCTTGGTACTTTGGGTGCTACTTGTTTCTACCCCTGTAGGAGTCTGTGAACGCACCAACGGCAACCACCACAGGCTTGCGCATAACTTCACTCGTTTTGCGCAGCAGGGCATCTGCTGGAATCTTACGGTTTCTTGTCTTTATCCGCAGAGCAAGTTATGCCGAGTAGCTAATGTACCATATTTCATCTTCATTAATCTATTAGTTTCTCACTCTTGCTCCATCATATAGATTACTAGTGGGTTTAAATTAGTTGCTGGTACGATATTTAGTTCATTTTGTAATTTGCCGAAGTTTCCAAGTGGTCCTGCCCAGAAAATTAGGCCCTAACCATAACAGGTCACAAGAAGGTTTGTAAATTTCTCAGTCACTTAAAACCCACTTTTCAGTTTAAAGCACAGTTAACAAAAAAAGGTTTCTGAGATTCCTCTACAGAATTCTGATATCGTACTTGCCGATGTCAGGTCAAAAAACGGCCTGCTCAGGACACAATAACGGGTCAAAGTGTGCACCTTGAGAATGCCGCACGCCCCGTTTGGCTGACTAGTAAGGTAATTGTCAACTTTAGTGAAAAATCAGCCAGCTGATAGATCTTCCCCCAACTTATGTATTACCAGTTGGTGAATATATATTATGTAGGCTAATATATCCACTACCACTCATCTGCGATTGGGTCTTTCAGCGCAATATTTGGTGTACCTGATTAAGTTAGTTCTCGCTAGATTCGGACGCTGGAATCGTTTTGAGGGCATCAGCTCGATACATTTCATTTGTGCATATTGAGTATTCGAGAATTATCAGCGGTTTATCATAGGCTCATCCCCTCAGTGCAAATCTCTCCTATTATAAAAGGTCGGCCACCCTCCTTTTAGCTACCTCTAATCATTTTTTCCGCACTCTAAAACGTTTCCAAAGCTATGAATTTTCTAACTTGATCCCGCCCACCTTAATGCAAGCCCAGCCCAGTCCTGGAATTTGGCCCTCATCACCTCCCACACTCCCCGCATTCTAGAACATTTTCGAACAGAGCTATGAACTTTTGTTCTTTACCCTACCCACTTCAGAGGTTTGGTCGTGTTTTTTCTATAGCTTCTACGACTTACTTTGCGCGTTATAGAACGTTTTTGGACGGAGTTGTAAGTATTTTCAAAACAGACATTTGAATGCACGCTTCGCCCATTATGGACGGAGCTTTGACATGCACGTATGCGCAGCACGCACAAGGCCTTGCTCACTTCGTTTATTTTTTTGTCCTTCACGCTTCCATTGAGTTATGATTTTACACGGTATGTGCCGCCCACTGCGAGAACACTCCGCTCACTGCCGGTAGGTCTCCTTCAGTTCACTTGTAGACGCATTCCTCACCTTGGCCCGTTTTCCCGGCGTCTGAGCTATTGCGATACCTAATTCAAACATTTTGCCCAAGACATCGCCCAGTGTCGTGCTTGCCCGCCTTGCTCGCTGCAAGCGGAGCTCCGCTAAGCTCACGTGTGATCTGCTGGTCTTGTCCTATGCCCAACCCATCGCGAACTTTACCGACCTCACCAGGTGCTTTACGTGAAAAATCGAATTTCTGTGCAGACAAACAAACAAACAAACACGACAGCAGACAGACGCGAGTGCTTTATATAAAGTAAGGAAACTTGGAAATGTAGTTCATATCTGGAGGCAAGGATAGAATTTCGAAAGTAATGTACGCGTAGGAGTTCACATTATATTAAAGTCCTCTGAGTATCAATTTACACGCCTTTCATGATGGCAAATCAGCCTTCTACTGTCTGCAATGCTTCCGGGGCAGCACAAATCATACGGATGTACTTAGGCTTTCCCAGCGATTTCCAAAACTACATATGTTTGTAATAAGTGAGCTTTATGAAACATCCATGGGTACTAAGTTTTATATAAATCCTACAAAATTTTTAATGGTATGGAAATACTGAATAAGTTTTAAATGTGCAAAGAAACAAAAAATAATGGCAATGAGTTGCCAATCCCAACATTGGGTGCCATTGTTGTTAAAGGGTTAGCAGCAACTCATTGCTATGATTGGGAAAGCTTCGCTAATCCCCATCTTTTTCGCGGCATTTATTGTTAATTCGGATGTTAAGCCCTCTCATACGCCCTTCACACTCTCGAAATGAAAGCATTACCTATCCAACGATGGGCAGAGGTGCTATGGTTGGCGGTGGAAGGAATGCAGCGACTCCCCCGGTCAGTTGATTTCGTGTAATTGCGTCATTTCTTTTGGTTCCCTCCTCTGACATAAAAACTGCTGTGTAGATGCTTAGATTATACCAAATAAAAAATAGAGCTACGTCTCTCAATTGTCTCGAACGTCATGGTGTCATTACGCTTAAATCCCATTGCAGTTCGGGCAGTTGTACCCCGCTTTCGCCGGCCAGTCTTGGAGAAATGATGGACTTCAGAAGGTGAATTGATTTCCTCAAGCATCGAGCTGTTTCTGTTTTGTGTTACTCGAATCAGTATATGTACATGCAGGAAACGACCTGTGAATAGATTGGAAAAATCATGGAAGTAGGGGGCCTACAAACGAAAATTCGTGAGTTTCCATCTCACGAATGGGATTGGGTGGAGAAGAAAATGTTTGGTTTAATCATTGTGATGCACTACAAATCCGGGAAGATTAGGGTATGGATCTAAGAAAGTAAATCGTACATGTCGGATGATATTCTTGTGAGAAGGACCTCCCGTCAATCGCAGTCAATCAGGCTAGAAGCGTGACCGCGACAAGAAACAAGGTTCAAATATTAGCTTATACAAACTGATCACAAAGTAGTTGTTTTTTTAGAAACCATACGCGCGACCCACCTAGAAGATTGTACAGATAATCGGTTCCATAGGACGAGATGTCAGGGACTCACGTCGTGATTGATCTACGAACAAAGTCGGAATTCCTCATGCTTCTAGATCTGTCTTACCAGTACGGACGTGTGTTTGTCGCATGTTTTTAAAAGTCTGGTTTTTTAATGCATTATGATCGATACAGCTTTATGGTACTATTACGGCACATTGTACTCCTTCCATTACTTCATTACATTGACAGCGAACACGTTTAACCTACAAACAGTGAAAAAATTTCAGCTGGATGCTTTATACTGCTATGTGTAACAGAATTGCTGTGGTTGAACCTAGTTGGTCGACGTTTCGGACATGCCGTCGTCGTCAAGGAAGTTAAGCAGTCCAAGGCTCTTAATCAGCGGCTTACCCGACTAGGCACTCAAACGCACCAGTCAGTTGCATTGAATCCCAAAAAACTCGAACTCGAAAAATCTCAGCCAAGAAGTACGACTAAACAACATGGCCGAATTTCCGGGGTAACGGAACTTCTCCCCTATCGCGGCATTCTCCCTTGCGGCAGGCGGCAAATGTCACTGCAGTTATCGTACTCACCTCGCCTCCCGCCGATCGATAGGACGCGATATTTTTCCTTGACTAGCTTGCTTTTTTATTGGATTTTATCGTTTTTTCTTCTGTTTCTTCTTAGTTTTCATGTTTATTAGACTTGATTAATTAAAATGACTCCTCCTAAGTAAGCGGCGATCAAGACTGCATTGAAATTGAAGAAAGCGGTCAGCCAATTCAAATAATTAAAGGACTCCCTACCTCACAAATTGCGCGCCCCAAACTTCCATCGCAATCCTGCGATAGGCGGCGGGTGCGGCGTGTGCGACGCCGTGTTAGGGGAGAAGTTCCCGGACCCGAATTTCCGAGTGGAAGGGAAAACACACTACTCTTCATTGGAGTCACACTATCATCAAGTGCAGAACCAACTTGAAATAATTTGAAGTATCTCATCAAAAGAGATAGGTATTGTTTTCCAATAGAGCTGTTCGATGTAACGGCAGTATATCGTGGTGATTAAAAAGACAGGAGCAATCTTCCCGCTTGGGTTGTGTTACAGTACCAAGCCACGGGTGCTTCGACAGTAAGCGACAGTACTCGACTCTGAAACAGATTGAAACTGTTTCGCAAACTTCGAACTGTCTTGGGATTGCGAAGAACGTGGCATTACAATCGGGGACGAATTTCGCATATTTTGTCAGCGTTAAACATCTCCTTACTAATGTTCAATTCATAGTACTGACGCTGACGCTGGCGTCCGCCTCCGATCGATATGTCCTAGAGGTTAATGCCTGTTGCTGCACGAAATTACTTAAGAGGCTTGAATAAGCGTGTTTGTCTGTATCCTTCCGTAATCATCGACTGCTTTAAAATTTTACCAGTTTTACCAATTTTATTTTCGTGTTGTAAGCTGACGTAGGTTGAGTCTTACACCAATATTGGCTTGCCCGTTTGGCTCTGTAGCTATGTCTTCAATCATTCAAGGTTCGACCTTATTAGTCCAAACATGCCGGTACTCGTACCAAGCCTGTCGCTTGCTCGAAAACATTTGGGCCTTCATAGGCCGGCAGAAATGAGCCTTTCAAATATATACATATATATTTTATATACATATATATATCAGGTGTAGTGCAGTTAAGTCGAAATTGTCGCTTCGGAGAATGACGTCGCGCCAAAGAAATGTAAGCAGAATAAAGCAGCGAGTAAGAAATACAGGAACAAAAAAGTAAC